GCATCGCGATTAGGCTACGAACAACGGGGTACACAGAAGGTCCGTCTTGTCACCGGAGTGCAGCGAAGCAACGGGCGGTCGGTGTTGAACTATGAAACACCTCTGTCGGTCCGCGCCCTTTGGCGCAAGGAATTCACTTGGAATGGATAAAATCTCTTATAAAATCCCGCTCGGCGTGTCCCAAGGCATGCATACATGTATGAAAGTGGTTGCCCCTCGGCCAACAGGCGTACTCGCGAACATCAGAATGTGAGCACAGCGTCGGGCTGTGAGATACCGCTTCAAATTGCTCGCGCGCCGCATCTCAAACGAGCCTGCGGCTCCGTGAATCTCCGGGGAATAAACGTTTTCGTTTCCTTCATTTGTGCGAAAATATATCCAGCCGCTACTGGATCCCGGGCTCTCGGCCCGTAGCGAACAACCGCTCCTACGTGAACAATTTTTGCCCGAATTTTTCATGGCCCCGTCGCCGAGAACGACCCTCCATCTTCTTACCGCGCGGACATCACCGCCACCGCCGCCGCCACCGCGACGGTAGTTGTATTGTTTCGCGCAGAATGAAGTCGCAGAAATGCCTCGGACAAACCCTTCGGGTATATAAAAGTTTCCAAGGAAGATACGTGGAACGTTCGATGCCGGAAAGTTTCGAGAGCGGACGCGCGGAACGTTCGCCGCTCTGCTTCACGAACTACCGAGTCCTTTCAACTTACGGTAATAAAACACGATGTAATAGTTTTCATAATTTCTCGAACTTACTTTGCGGCTCTTGCCGTTCATTTTCTTCTGGTGTTAACTGTGTCTAGAGTTAGAAACAATTTGATTTTCTGAGAACAGTTTGTAGTTGGACAGTAATGGACAGATGTACAGTGCTGTACAAAATTACAGACTCGAAGTAACTTGTACATTGTTACTGATATCTAAACGAACACCAAGAAAAAAACTATATTTTCTAATCTCTAACTACTTTCCTATTTTCTATTATTTTTTATATAGAAATGTACAAATATGGTGTATTAAATTTTTGTTGAAATGCCACCACTGTATATATGGATACCATTTAAAATGGAATAACTTTTCTGAAGTTGAACGAAACGATTTGAATTTTTCTGAGGTGCCAGAAGGGCTAGTTTGTCACTCAATGCATAACGAATTTTTTTGCAAACATTTCAATTGGGTGGAATGATAAAAAAAATAAAAAAATCACGTTTCCCAACTTTTTGATCTTGATTTTTTATTATTGTTTGTTATTCCATCCGATTACTACTTTTACAAAAATTTTGTTACACATTATCTGGCAAACAAGTTCTAATATCTCAAAAAAATTCATCAGGTTGGATACAATTTTAAAAATGTTACTGGTTTCAAAAGGTGTCGACATTTATTTTTTTTGTCCACGACTGTATATATATTTAGTCACTTAGGGATTTATTTTCAGTTTTAATCCAGCTCTTCTATCTTATAATTTACCACAAAACAGAAGAGAATTTTAAACCGTGACAGTGCTTTCAGAATGACTTTATATTATTACTATAAAAATACGTTTCAGGTATTTGAAACTGTACCATATTCTGAATTGCAAGTGTAATGTAATTCTAATTACAGTCACATTTTCATTTCATTCACCGTGAAAACGAGATAATAATATATACAATTAATATAAATATTGATAGCGAATATACTATATGGACGAGTATACTCGTTAAATGTTTATTATACATAATTGAGATAACAGAGCCATATTTATCAGTTTGTTTTATCTCGCGTTACCTTTCTTATAAATATGAAAACGCGTTGCACAATATTAACAATTATTAAATGAAACATTTGTCGAGTACATAATTTCCTCGTAACTATAATAACTGTTTCCGTTATTTCCTTTCAATGTTAAATGCACTCTCTATATTAATGAATTGCATTTTTAGCTATTTCGTCACAGTAACTTATTAACAAATTAAACAATGTCCTAAAAAGAAACGTATTTGATAAAGTCTATTTCAGTGAATAATATGAAAGCTCGAAGGTTCATTTAAGACTCACATTATTTTAGAAATTAAAGGTAAGATTGTCATGGAATGAAAAGCAGAACGTACATTTGGAGCATGAAGTAATTAAATGCATTTAATTAACGCGAATTCGCATGTCATAATTTGAAAAGTAAAATATTTCCAGAAGATTTTATCCACTTTCAGCATTGTAATCCTATGTGACGTTTTAAACAAAAAAAAACTGCCCAGTTGTCCTCCACGAGTTAAATCTTTTTAAAACGCAGTCGAAATTCTTGTTTCAGCGAAAACTCTTTTGTTCGTAAATGCACGTTGTACTCGATTTATATTCAAATGAGGATATTTATTAAAGTACAAAATTTTCATCAGCGTGGTACCTATTAAACCAACAGTCTTTCGATCATTTTATTAAATTTTAATGAAAATAGCTGCCATATAAGCACGCCTGTTTCAAAGCACCCGATATTATTCTCAAGAATCCAATATCGAATATCTACGTGGAAAAAATATATTAAAGCCTTTGCCAGTAATCATAATTGATTGAAGATTCTTTTTAATATTGCATTACGTAATTTCTTATCTAAACTTTCAATAATAAATATATTATATGATTAAATTGAAATTACCGGTTTCAATTGTGATTTGACTATCGATCTGTGTATCTATTTATGACGTATACAAATTTTTAAAATACAGAAAACGTGTACATTCTTGAAAGTTAATAATATCGATATTTTATTGTTACTACATGGGAACTGTCCGCGAATGAAAGAATTTTTTCCTCATGTCAGTTTCCAAAAATTTAAGTAATTTACATAAATATCTGCAGACTGATTATGTTAATAATTTTTAATTTAATATTTCTCCATCCAGAAATGATCTTATATCGTTAACAAATATAGATTGTTTTTAATGAATTAGTGGCAGTAACAAATTTATTAAATTTAAGGCGACATGTATGTTACGAAGATTCGCAAGATTTTTATTTTATTTTTAAGATTTATTTGTATAAAATTATATATCTTATATATAATATCTTATAATATTATATTAAAATTTTTACTCTTTACGTACATACCTCTTTACATACATAACCTTCTAGTTGACAATAGAAATATTTTATTTGAAAAATAGAAATAGGAATCGGGATATTAGTATAAGATACATAGAGTTTAAGAAACATAAATCTTGAGTCTACTAACAAGTACATGCAGTCGAGAAAGAAAAATTGATTTTTTAATACCAATGAACATTTAATCAATCAAGATATGTACCATTTACCTGATCTTATTTTTATCAATGTGCAATAAAACAATGTACAATCTTACGAAAAAGTCGCGACAATATACAACTAATCGAACATTGGAAAGATCATTTGGCAATAATAATTTTACATTAAACGACTTAATTTCGTCTACTAAACCCTTCACCAACGAGAAACGGCCTTAATATCTCGCCGAAATCATTTATAAAGCTCCCCCAGAATACGTACAATGAAAACACATTTTATTGGAATATCTTGTGTATACTTGTAATTCTTCATAATTAGATTACGGATCTTTATGTAAATTCTTACTTTCATACGTTATATTCCAAAAATCGAACTTAAAGGAAAGCTTCCTTCGTCAACTAAACAATTACCGATTATAAGAAAAGAATGAAAATGCTACTAGACCGTGTTAATACATACATTTTCATGCAGTTTAAAAATCTTTAAAAATCTCTTAAAAATCTATTTTTAATCGAAATTCACTCCCATGTAAAACCGCGCTTGTTAGACAATTGTGCACAACTCCGTTTAATGAACAAAGGAGAAGCATTTAAAGCGTTACGGTTATTTTGCAATTAAATCGAGCATTATTGCATCTCCGTTCCATCCTCGGATCAAAGCAGAGTCACTTTGGAACGTGATGCGTGCTATCTTTCCGTTGCAGGCGGATCATTGTCGAAATGTAATACCGCTGAAAACGGCCGCTGTAAACATTGCGTTTCTTGCGTCCGAGCACGGTGCTCCGCATAATCATAAAACCTTTCATCGTTTCGCCGTTGTTTCCAGACAATCCTACGCGCGGCCCATTATTCTCGCACGCGAGGGATAATTCAAATATGCAATCGCCATTGCCCCCGGATACACGGACGAATTCAAAAGCGTTTCCCAGATAGAATCCGTCGCGACGGTGCGGAACGCTCGCAGGTAGCTTTAATCTCCGGAGTGCGATGCCGCGGGATCACGATTCTCGTTATTGACGAGTAAACAACGAAAAATAAACGGTTTCCGCTGCCACATAAAATATTCGCAATTAACCAGTTGCCGAGGATTCGCAAGCACCGTGCCAGGCAGACGAAAGTAACATTCTGAATAATTTTAAATTTATTGTAGCTGCCATTACAAATGGACATTACCCCTGGCAAAAACTATAGAATACCTTTCGAAACGCTATAACTTTTTTAAAACTTGGCTAAACGACTTGTATTTTGTTTTAACGTTAAGGGGACTGGTTTACCGTGCGATCGCTGAAATACATTTTTTAATTTTGCTGTAGTAGTAGAAATTCAAATTGTTACTATCGACCTCGGCTCCCATATTCAACCCCGTTTAACCATTATTTGGACTGCCAATTACTGCCAGTTATTGTTACAGTGAATATTGGATATTTCCAAATTAGTGAGTGCAAGTTTTACGTTGATATATTGAGAACTTGATGTTTATCTCAATAATATATTTATCTGCTAGAAACGTTTATTAAATAATATAAAAATTTTAAAAATGTTGTTATAGATACCGTAAAAATGAAGATTCCATTCTTAACGGAGAGATCAATTTCATTGAGTTTGATGTTTACTTGATGAAACTTGATTTTACAAATAGTGAAGTTTGAAATAATTGCATTAACGTATATTGATGACGGCATGTTTAAAGATCCGTGGGACCGCACTGACCACCATGATCCAGTTAAGAGTTAAAAATCTACGCAGAAGACACAAGACGGAACTTACCGGTAAATTGTCAAACGCAACCGATTCGTTTCCTGTTGCTCTCGCGCCGGAAATTCGCAGGTTTGATCCTGAAACAGAAATGGACAGGTGAAAGGTCAGTAAAAGATTCACCTGATCCGAAACTAGTTTCACGCATGCGGTTGTTACGAAACAGTGTACGATGCAGTACGTTTCATTTGTGAACGAACGACAATTGAAGTAAGAGTTACTATGAAATAAATCCTTGTTCGCTTAGGAATATAATTTCATAACCAGTTATTTTGATAAAGAAAGAACTTTTCATCTAATTTCCAATTGAGAAGTGCTACAATAAATATATTACGTGTGCTTAAATTGCTCACTCCACAAATTTGACTGAAAAGCCTGTAATAGCTATAC